TCTCAATACGTTTGCGAACTAATTCCCTCCGATACACGAATTAGTTCCCCAAAATTAACGTACCACTTACAAGTATGTGTGCCACAAAGTGCCTTTTAATTGCATATGCGCAAAATGCAATGCAATGTGTGCGCAATTAAGCGAAGAGAGTTGCATGCCAGAGTATATGAGCCAATGAATTTACTATAACTAAATACTTATGTTAATAAAATGTAAATTGAAACCATGATCCAAACACATGTTATGTGAAAAAAAATCAGAACAAAGAAACGAACACCATAAAGAAGAAATATTTTATTTTTTTGTATGAAAAAACATTTAAATGTATAATTACATTTCTAGTTTCTAGTTTTCAAAAATATATGCTTTGATAAAACTTTAAGCACATCCAAAAAAATCTACAATGTACCACTAACCGAACTTGCATACCGAAGCAAGCTTACCCCCCCTCCCCCAAAAAAAAAAAAAAAAAAAAATCAAAACAAATTTCCTAAGCAATGTTTTAAATATTGGTTATCGGGGATTTATCGGACGGTCAAAATCCATATCGAATAGCGGATATCAGGGATATACCGAAAATAACTCAATAAGTAGTATTTATCAGAGTGATATTACCGAATGGTGATATACATAATATAATATTCTAAAATGTAATCCAACCATAATTAATAAAATATAAACATATCAAAATATAAGTAATTATGTCTAGGATCACTACCCAATGGTAGAAATCGGGTCGGGTCGGTTTAAAGTGCATTGAATAGGTGTCTATTGCTCGAAATCTAAACTCAAACCAAAGGTTGATAATCCCGATTTTGAGCAAACAATATCGGCCGATAACTCACTTTATCGCCACATTTTTAGCGATCATTTTCGACGATAAACATTAAAAAATAATAACCGATTTAGAATCAAACTTATCATAGCGAAAGACCCTCAAAACTGATAAAGCGCTGATAATATAGATTTATTAGCCGATATTTAAAACATTGTTTCTAAGTGGCGAATTGTGTACCCGAATTCATACCATGACCCATTACGTCCCGCATATTGTGTAACTATGTTATCATATGTCATATGAAGGGATTTTTCATATACAATGATGTAGCTAAATGTCAATCAACTGAGATAATAAGGGCTTATATCTTCTTTTTATTCACTTGGTGTAGACCACATCATTGTCGCATGAGAGAATCCCATCATATGACAAGGATATCCGTTATTCTAATAATTATTAATCAATATATATAAGCTTCTTAACTTATAGTGTAAATTATACTCTTGAATTTCATTTCGTGATCGTAAATTTTAATGAGCTTATATAGAACTTCTTGTGATTTTTAAAGAGTTTTTTTTTTAGTTTTTACACTAAATGGACATTCTTGGTGAATTTGCATATTATTTTAACTCTGAATTTCTGATAACATACATCAAATTCAAATATGGATGCTATTTTTGTATCAGTTATACATTGCACAGGATCCAAATAGCAAAAAAGTACTTTTGGATTTTAATTCAGCTATTAGGGTATCCATTTCGTATCTGATCCATTTACACCGCAAGTCCATCACACTGACCATAGAATCCAAGCATGCTCAAAACATACCTAACTTGCAGAAGGAATTCTAGGTTAAGGTGGATAATAGGAGCATTGGAAATTGCATTCTAGAACTAGAAACCTACAGTATGCAGGTAGTGAAAGATGAAAGGAATATAAAAATAGTTTTTATGGCTTGGCTAGTCAAAGTTACAGAAAGCGCTAGGTTGTCTAGGCGTCGGACCTCGCCCCTAGAGCCTAGGCACCTAGCTGGAGCCTAGGCTTTTTCATTTTTTATTTTTTAATTATAATCAATTTATCAAAAGTGCCAGGTTCCAAACTGGCTAGGCGCTAGGCCGAGGAGGATTTGTTTAAGTGGTGACAATGTTACACAAAGTGCTAGATGGCCTAGACATCAGATCTGATGCCTAAAATCCACGCGCCTATGCAAGGAGGGCCTAGGTGCTTTCATTTTTTTTTTAATTATGACCGATGTCATCGAAAGTGCTATGCACCGCTAGGTGCCAAACTGGCGCCTATCACCTAAGCGCTAGGCCTAGGAGGATTCTATTCTTTTTCTTTTTTTTTAAGTGGTGGCGAATAAGATTTTGCTAAAGGTTGGAGTCGGAGGAGGCGTTAGCAGTCGGTGAAGGAGACCGGAGAAGTTCAGAGGAGATTAGACGACGTGGAAGCAGCAATAAGCAGTCTCCGCTCTCCTAGGCGTTCTCAAGAGCTAGGCGTGCGGAGCCTAGGCGACCAAGGCGAAAGCCTTTTAAAACATTACTGAATGAATATGAGTGTTGCGTGGACAAAAGGAGAGTTCTTCAAGTTACTGAAGTTATAGTTGGATTAAAAGAAAAAAAAACAGGAAAATAAATTAAAGTTTCACAAGTACCAACAAAAGCATAATGATCCTTCTTCTTTAAATATAGAGGACGTCAACAATACGTGCACATATTCTTTTCCCTTATATTTATCTTTCTCACATTTCAGGGAGCAGGATGCATTACATGGAACAAAAGTTAAGGGGAAAAAAGGGAACCCTCGGCGCAAATGTTGTCATAGGAAAAAAAAAAAGGAAAAGGAGGCAGCCAAAGGAAAAGGGACATAGAATAGGAGCAAATATACCATCATCACTTACGTATTTGCCTCAAGAATATTGATTCAGCCAGGAAACAATACTCTTTATTGAGTAGGCTCCACAGTAGGGGTGCACTCAGTCCGGATAGGGCTCGGATATGATGCTTACCATATTCATATCCGCTTACCCATCTCGGATACGGATACGGATATACCTCGGTAAGAAAAATTCATAACCATATCCACTAAAATCGGATACAGTTACAGATATTCATGCGGATATATGAGCAGATATGCATGCGGATACAAAACGGATATGAGAAAACTAGATAGTATGGAGAAAAACATAGTTCATGTGATACAAAAAGAGTTCGTTAATATGTTCATTATAATTGAAAAGTTAAGATTAGACATCTTGATCATCAAAATTAATCACAAATCCATAATCTAAGAATCAAAATTATCGTAAGAGTATGACTAATATGTATTCGGATATTTCGGATACAGATAAGGATATTTCACTACAAAACCATATCCGTAACCATATCCTATCAGTTATAGATTTGAGTAACCATATCCGTATCATAACGGATACGGTTATGAATATTTCCTCGAATACGGATACGATTTAGCACCCCTACTCCACAGACAAACTTTGACATAATTTACAGTTTCCTCTTAACTTAATGTCAACCCTCCAAGCTGTGAATTCTTTTCAGGAAGCAACTAAAAAAGAAGATATGATTCTAACTCCACTAGCTCGTTGGAAGAGAGGAAAAGATGATTTTCTTATGCAGCTTAGCAAAGCTAAACCAAAGAGGAACCTAGCAAAGTTCTCAAGTACTAGGAAGAACCTAATAAAGGAAAGATACATTATAACCTTCGATAATGGAAATGCAATTGTATCTAAGGCAAAAGCATTCAATGTCGTCAAAAGATTTCCCATTCTAGTACCTTAAATACCAAATATTTAAAGCAAACATGAGGAATGTCATAGCAGAGCCTTTTTTCTGTCTCTGCTCTACTTTCCTTCGAACTTCTTCCAATGAAAGTTTCTGGTTACAATGCGAAGTGATAGAAAGACCAAGGAAATTTAATCATTACCTGTTATTTACTGTGAGTCAGGTGAAAAAAAAATTACAAAATACAACTAAAAGACATAAAAATCTACAAGATAACTGAAGTGCTCTTGTTTTCTAACCCTACTTCTCCTGTGCAACTGAATACAATCTGGGTGATGTGGTATTGTCCATACTCTTAAGGTAGGGGGTATAGACGTATGCTTGTAACAACCTTGGGCTTAAATGGAGTAGATTGGCTGAGATCTCTTTTTGAAATCTCATCCTTTTCTCAATAAAAAAAGAAAACAAAAATAAAAACAATCCAGGTGATGTACCCAGATGGAGATTTTCCATAAAATTCTTGTAACTAATAAGAACCAAGGAAATAAAAGCAGCTACCTCATGAGGATAGGTCATTGTTGAGGCAAGTATTTTAGATAACGAAGAAGCAATTGCTACACTTCCAGGACTGAGCTTATCCACCGTAGTATTTTCTGGGAGTACACAATAATGTCAAACAAAAATCAGTACTAAAACAAAATGAACTGAAAAATTATCTGCAAAGTTTAAGAGAAAACTTATTACCTCTTCCTGCCAAGTAAGCTTTGATCTTTTCATATGCAGGAAACTGGATAGCAACATGGCTAACTCCAGCTAAAGCAGGAAGCAGACCACTGTTGAAGAAATGAACACAGCATATAAATACAACAATCATTAAGAAGGATCAGAAATACTATAAAACATGATTAATACTACGCAGACAAACACTACCTGTATAGTCCTCGGATGCCTTCTTCATGACAAATCCGCTTCAGAGCAGAAAATATGCTAGTGTAAGGTATCACTCCAGGCCTCATTCCTTGTGTCTATATATAAATCAATGGCCTCATTAATTAGCCAAAGCATGCATTCTGCAAAAGTTTTTATGGTACAACTTCAAAGGCTTGAAGTTGGTTATGTGAATAATATCATAAAGATGAAATGAAGACATTGCAACTATTGTAGACAGCGGAATATGATTCTTTTTTATTTCTATTCTTATTTATTTATTTATTTATTTTTGTCTTTAACCACATCTGTCCAACATTAAAGAAGAATTGGTATATCTAACAAAGCAAGCAATTAGGAATGAACCACACTTCAGATCAGGATGAGGATATACAATTTTATCATAGAACTACTAAACTTATATCGCCGTCTGGAATGTGAAAATGTCAGGCCATATAGCTATTCTGAAGTATTGTAGACATCAACACATGAGCAGAATTATCTGAAAATGTCTACACTATATATCGACAATTTAAATAGCACCTGATAAATTTGATGGAGCAACTGGAAGAAATCAAATGACTTCCACCAGGGTGATAAAACAAGGAAGCCAATTTTCCAACACAATAAATATGAGTAACAAATTCTGTATCTAGAAAAAGAGTCTAGTCTATCTATTAAGTACTAATTTTAATGAGAAGGTAGACAGATTTGGTCAGAAGTAACAATAGTTAATTAACAGAAATTAATAATTGAAACCACCATGTGTAACTGTGCATCCCTACAGTTCACCCATTTTGCATCCCATCACATTGTGTTTATCCATCTAAAAACACTCCCAACATGTCATAAAGGTTCATATCTAGTTAGTGAACCAACAGTACTGAACTATTCAGATGCTGTCTATTGATATTTATCTACAAATTAAGTTGTTCTTGTTTCGATAGAATTATCTATAAGCACATTAATCTCACAAGATTCACACTTAAAACTTGAAGCCAGAAAAGGAGATGATAAGGCATACTTGGAGCCTGGTCTTGACCACCCACAATGGATTTGTTGTTAGAGCTGTTGCAGCTCCTGCTCCTGTAGCAGCAATCATATTTGCGCCAGTTGAGAGCTGTTTATTTTCATCAGCTGCATGAAAACATGTCAAACATAAATTTAAAACGAACTTATCGGATTGCCGCGACATGATATTTTTCTCATGATTAATAAAAATTGTCAAGATAGAGAGGTCAAGGAAAATATCCTCCATAGAACTAAAGCAGGACGGTTAAAGAGAAGAACGTGCTTTAGCAGTTTTACGTGAGTGTATAACACCCTGAAGGGATAACTCAACAGGATGGAACTTAAGATGGGAAATGTTTATGGGTGAGAGATGATCAAGGAACACTGAGAATACGGAAATGGATGAGCAACAAATGACAATAAGTCAGGAGATGAGAAGTTAGAACTTAGAAGTTGCACTTATCAAGGACAAAGTGAGGTAGGTAGATTTCAACAGTTAGAGCTCATGCAAAGGTTAATGAATGCACTAAGTACAAACAGTAGAACATAGTTAATGAAGATTAGAGGTGTTCTAAGCAAACAATTGAGGCAATCAAGAAGGATACAATAAAGGCCAATTTAATGGAGTAGATGACCCTTACAAAGCAGACAGAACAGAAGAATATTATTATGTAGTTGACCAAGGTTTCAGACTAAGGCTTTGCCTTCGTTCTTACTGTTATTTGGAAGAAAGAACCTTTATGTCTCATAACTAAAAAGTCTAAAAGTGAATTAAACAAAACTTTTGAAATAACCATGTGAATGGAGAACGCCTTTGAGCTTATCATAAACAGTGAAGTACACCTGCAAGATAAAAATAATAATATTACAGGATATCACCACCCATACTAAACTAAATTAACAAGGCATGATAATTATTAAATAAATCAACCACAATAAAACTAATAGAAAGAATAAACTAGTCCATAAGTTTCAAGAGCGCTAGTTTTATCTGGCAAAAGCTTACAACTCATCTAATTTGACAAAGGATATCACCGAAGCTGATGTTGATTATGTCGTATATTACTAAGTTGCTGCCAAATGTGTTCCCTCTAAAAGGGTACAATAGTCGGATGAAAATTAAGAAGGGGCCATTTCAGGAACTTCAACTGAAGAAACAACCTCAACAAATAAAGCGAATATACTATTTTCAGTAATGTGACTCAATTGCAAACTATGCAAACATACATGTGGATGTAGGAGAGATGCATATATCATACAAAATTTTAACCCAAAAAGAAAAAGGAAAAAAAAGGGAATAATGAGGATAATGCATCATGGATAATATTCTACAGAGATGAAATCCTCTATAAACTTAAAGTTGATGTCATCCCTAAAGGTTGATACATACAAGTAGATCATAGAAAACATAGTGACATACTCATATTAAGGGAATGCTCATGCATACTTCATCAAAATAGCAGCATATACTAGTAGTCCTCGTCATCGACCCATTGCATACTCAACAGTGGGGCTATAAAATCTGGAAGTATGACCAAACTTGTATAGGAGTGCTGAACTGATTTCAACATAGGAAAGCGTGTTGAGTAAGACAGGTAACCTATGGCAAGAGAAAGTACATAAAAAACCCCTAGAAAGCTAGTTTGTGGCTGAATGAGCTTGGGATTAACAATATTTGTCGCACAATATGAGTACATGGAAGAAAGGAGGGAGCACTGAAATTGCTTTGAGTAAGAAAAGAGAGGAATGTTAAAAGAGTTATTATGAGGAGATATGAGATCTATGGTAATAACTTCGTTACTCATCCTTGGGAACAGGTATGCTAGAAGCGAAATTAGTCCGATGAAGAAACCCCTTAATGGGTACGCCTGTGCGAATAAAGCATGCCCCTCTATATTATATATATATATATATATCATATATATATATAGTATTATATATATATATATAATATAATATATAATATATATTAATATATATTATATATATATATATGGTAAACTGTGTGAATAAAATATTTATATATATATAAATAATATAATGCGTTCGGGGTGGTTTTCTTTTTTTTTTTGGTGTGGAAGGGGGGGGGTGGAAGGATTTCAAATTGTAACATTTTTGTTGTGGCGCAGATTTGGGACTCGGATCTCATTTCCACTGCTCGAAAACTTTAATAGAAAACATAGGTTATAGAAATTAATCTGGTTTCCTCCGTAAGCATCTCCGTCAGGTCAAATTCTTGTTTCTGTGTAGAAAAGAATGACGAGCAGTTCCAAATAACCCAATGAATCCTCATTTATAAAAGTAAAACCAAAGTAAGAAAAGAACTCACAGCCCAGTTTGGAAGCAGTGCCAATATTGTAGGAGAAAGACCACGATACATTCCTCGAATGCCTTCATTTTTTATTATTTGTTGTAGGCTTGAAATAATAAAGCTCCCTGCTTTGATGTTAAAAGAGAATTTAGAACCTTTTCTTTTATAAGAAGGATTTAGGTCTTAGCCTGATTTTGATTAAAAGAGTATGAACTAAAGTAACATGGAATATGTGGATGGGATAGATAGAGGAGAGTCTACAACTTAGAGAAGAGTGAATAAAGTGGCCAAGCTATTGATTACATGGTGGGTATGAGCGACAAAATTCAGTATGTAGGACTAAACTATAGTGAGAAAGTTTAGTACATTATGCAGACTTAGAAGACCATTTGAGGAAAACAGTCGATAGATATGTCATCCCAATGTCTGAGAGTGCCTAATTACGCATAAAATTAATAACCAGGAAAATTGAGCTTCCAATGATTGTAAAAGGGATAAACTTACTAAATACAGCAGCATATTAATACACAGACCTCTAGATAATTGCACAGTAACTACGTGATAAAATTTTGAAGGAGCATTCTAGATTTGGAACAGACTACATCAAGAAAGCTCCTTTTATACTCACCATACATGCATTATACATACATGTTTTTTTTTAATTTTATTAATAATTTTTTCTCCATTTGGAAACAAGTTAGGGTCTGGACTATGAGAATAACAGTTGCATAAATACCATAGAATGCATCACTATAGCTACTATATCTTTTCAAAGCCTCAAGCTTACTCTACGCAATAAATTTTTTATGGAGTTATCCTTGCTAAGCCATCATACCCGAATCAGAATATAACAAGTATACCTAGCTCAGTAGAAATAAGTGAGAACTAGGAAGCATAAACATCAAGAGTGTTCAGCTCCCCTTAAAAGGATATATGTCTGTAATCACTTTCCGTTGTGCCAAATTACAGTTAGATTCACATACTAAAGTCCAAAGACCCAAACATCTTACGGCTTTAAACATAAATTTTTGACATTTAATAAAAGCTGCTGAGAATGTTTTTTGCAACCTATCAGACAAATATTCAGACAGATTTGTACATGAGATAATTTTGTTTTTGTTTCATACACTAAACAATCAATTTATGACAGTGTCAAGTTCAATCCAAAACATACCCCAACTGACAGAAGAAAAAAGAGAAAGCAATAAAGTTTGTGGTTTCAATTAGTGGCACATTTCGTATACAAACCGCAAAAAGGAGACTGAGAAAGAAAAGATAAACAATGACAATTTGAGTAAATGCTCTCCTTGGTTATATTAGGCACTAGTGTTTAATCTCTTGTAAAAGACTTATTTATGGGTTTCTAGAAATTACACTATGGTTTGAGCTCTGAATATTTAGTATAATCTGAGTTGTTATCGTAAGGGTCCATGACACATGGAATATGCCTCAACATATTCAACAGTTATAAGAAAGTGGATTCAAGTAACGATATTGATTTTTCATGATGCTTTTTTTATTTTTTGGTTTTTTCCTTCATTTTTACCCTAATGTTACGGAATTTGACTTGGCTCCATTTGAAAGAAAATGATTCTTTGATGTGTCTGGATTTTCTGAAAAAATTTCTAGATTTCTTGGGAGCAATTCGAATTTTCGAGTCACATATCGAATGTCTAAGTGAAGTGGATACAACCAATGATGTGTCTGGATTTTCTAAAAAAATTTCTAGAGTTTTTTGGAGCAGTTCGAATTTTCAAGTCACATGTCGAATGTCTAAGTGGATACAACCAATTAAGAGAGAGTGTGTATAGCCCGCTGATCATGTTGGTAGAGATCATCATTCGGCTTGGCTTTGGAGTATTGGGGACCGATTCTCAATAGACCAAAAATATAGGGATATTGGTTAAGTTGTTAACTTTCTTACAGATTGTTCTTGATCAAATCGGTGTTTCTTGTTTTGTTATTTTTCTTAATATGTATGTCTTTTCTTGCCATCGATTTGCCACATGATTGGTCTATTAGTTACTTGTGCCTTGCACAATTTTCATGAATGTTGTTTACCATAAATGAATTATCAAAATTGCTCCTATGGTCTCTTGTCAATTATTTATCATGATTCTATCTCCATGGATCGATCTATATTGACCCAAGATATAATTTGTTGACAGGTTATCATGTGCACGGAATCCTAAAATTGTGTGCATGATTTAAATTGTTGATCATGGTCGAATGATTCTAATGATTGTGGAGATAGATTGAATAATTGATCATGATTATAATCTTTCTTTAGATACAATTCATGATTTGTTTTGGACTTTCTAGTTGTTGGGTTAAAAGCACGTGATGACTACCAGTGAGAATTATGATACTGTTACAGATGAGCTTTGATTAATATTAAGAAATCAATTGAGGACTATAGAACACCCTGGAAAATTGACTTATTGACAATTAAAAGATAACAAGATCAAGTAGTGTGAATTCTAGTGTACTATCATGTTTATAGCAGATATTGTCGTACTGGATCTTAGTTCCAGGTTAAATTTCCTACTGTAAGAATTAGTGAATGTAAAGTAGGGATCAATATCTGAGCTTGAGATTAGATTAGTGCGAGGATTGACAATGAGGAATTTAGATGAGAGAGTTGACTGAGAAGATTCATCGAGGTATCAGTTGTGTATAATTTAAGGATAATTAGGAGTAATTGATGAATACTTAATATGGAGGAGTTAAAATCATTAAATTATAGTTTAGATTGATCAAGGGTCTATCCCAATAAGAACTAGAGTAGACCCAATAAGAACTAAAGACTTAAGAATCAAATGCCAACTAGAATAGCCTATGTATAGTGACAGATTTTGCTTCAGGCGATTGAAGAAGTTCGCTGTTTTTCAAAAATCTTGAGACTGGCGGAAGTCTGACGAATCTCTAACTTTGCAACAAGTGACTGTCAAACATTAATTTGTCCAGAGGATTTAGGACAAATTGTCTCAAGATCAAGGTCTGAACAAAACTCGGATAAGTCACTGTCCAGAATCTGTCAGATATAAGTTGTGTGTTTTGCCACATTGTGTTTACTTATAAAAATTGGATTTATAATTGACATTTGTCATTATAATATGAATGAATTAACTGAGAACAATTGACTGAATTACATAATGACATGAGATTTGTTGTTATGAACAATTAGTCAATTTCATAATGATAATATATAATATGTTGATATCGTCAATGAATACAAGGTTTGAAAGTCAGGTGTGTCCTTCCAACACGATTATATATACGGTATGCTTATTAGTCCATACATGATATTGTGATAAAAGAATAAGATTGATATTGGATATGAGTTACAAGGGTACTTGTTTGCTAGATAGAAGATTGATCTACATACTATAGTGTCTTGACATGTTCATGTTAGAATTCATGGCTATGCACTTTAGATTCTTCAGACTTCAATTGTAGGTCCAACTCATAGTTACACCAAACCAAGTTCATTCCTGTTCACAAAATGGGGACGGAAGCTTGAAAAATCACTTGGTTTGTAAGAGGGGGTAGGCTTATATGGTGCACTACGGAACATGATACGCTTTAGGTTAGATTTTAAAATGTAGGAATTTGAGTGCGTTAATGTACATTTTTTTACAAAAGTCAAATTCAAGGATATCTAATAGTAAAAGAATTCTCAAGCTGCAATTAAGATATGTTTTCCATTATGTATTTTTCTGAAAATGGTTGATTATTTCAAAATATTAACTAATTTGAATTTTAGATCAGGTCGCTTAGTACATGGCTCAATTCGCTAGTGTACCACATTCCGAGATGATTGAATCCGGATTGTGGTTTGCTATAGTGTCTCATATTCCCGACATCTATGGTTCAACTTGATCGGTTGATTCGATCGACCTTGATATCTAAATAGGATATGAACTACGAAACATATTGTTAAATTAAACCCAAGAACAATCTTAGGGCTATTAAGATTTATCTACTATCAAATTAATAAAATGAATTATACATGGGGTGGAACCGATTGGTGGAGCTACATATGTAAATAAAATGGCCTAGAAATGCGCATATGTATAGGGTTCAACCATGAAGATCGTAAGTAATTGTTGGGTTACAATCATATTATACGCGTATGTGAGCACTAGGGTGAAGTGTGATCCCAATCTTGATATGTGAGAACCTTGAGATACGAGTCTAGTTCAATGTCGGACATATTAGTGGTCTAAATTCCGATATGCACGACAAATATTTTACACACATGATTCACTACCAGCATTTCCAAACAACCTAAAATATGTTACTAGATCATATGTTGTGAATTTTAGTTTTGATTTATATGGAGTATTATATAATTTATTATATCAAACACGTAATTATTATTATCTCGTCGTATGATCTCTTGTTTCGTTACTCTATTATTTATTGCATTATGCATACATTGTTTTCTTTTTCTTTGGCACCACCTACCAGATCCCATTCGTACACGAATAGAGATTGAGGGTGGTGTCGACGCAAAGATCATGTTTATACAGATTGAAAATTGATGTCATGTATTACTGAAAGAGAATTCTTTTGTACAAAGTATTTTCTTGGTTTTCTAATGAGTAATGGTATACCTAGTGATCAAAGTTTTTTTTTGGTTGATAACTTGTTTCATAAATATTGTGGATTATTAATCATTAACGATTAATAACTAATGACGTTGAGTTGTAGGTTTTGGAGGCTCCATTAGAGGGTTTTTTTAACCTATGGATACATCGTCGATGAGTTATGTCCACATAATCGTAATATTTTACGGAAGCGGACCATGACAATTATTACATCTTCTAACTAAGATAATTTTCTTTTTAGTTTTTTTATTAGTATCAAGTCAAGCCTCTCTTTGTAAAGATCAAAAGATAAATGTTTTTATTATAACACTTACTTTTACACATATATGCATGTCATTTATTTTGTTTAGCATGCAGATGATGCAGACCAAATTATCAGAATGGGCAATAAAAAATATGCTCCATTACCATGACCATAACTGTTAATACGATTAAGCCTACCCCTCTTATTGCATACTATTCAAAGTATCCTAGCTCATACCCTAACCTATGCCACGAACGACAGTATACCATGGTCTATTAGCATTGCTTTACAAAGATAACATATATGAAGAGGAAGAAAACAAAGAGCCAAGAGCAATACAAAGTCGTATAAACATTTTTTATCACAAAAATTTCGCAGCTATTCATTATATGAAAAGAGTATATAGAGATTTGGGGTATATTCTTGTTGTTGATGGTGTATCTAAATATTTGTGCTTATATTCACACTTCATATTTTTCAACATATTATAATAATTTTAGCCTTAATTAGTGCCATAAAACTCTTGAATTTTGTACAATCCTAAGCATTGCCCCAATCATATACGCATGAAGTAGTCAGAATTGAAGACATTTGGATTTAACCTGCACATGTATACCCTTAGGATGAGAAACATTTTAAGTTTACTTTGACAAAAAGCTAGGTTAGGGAAGTTTTACTCCCTATGTGTTACATTTTTCCGAATTGAATTCAATCCCTAATCTAATGAGTGCAGCATCGTTTTCAATCTCACTCAATCTACACTAAGCAAATCCACCTTTGATGGTAACTTATTTTCTTTATCTCCTTCAAGATCTAAACTCCCACCATTCATTTAAATCGTAGATGAAAGATTCAATTTTTTTGGTTTTTCAGTTTTTCTAAGACGTGCATAAAACTATGTCACATGTATATATCTAGAGTCGCATTCTTGCGTATGCTCAAAATCTATATGCTTAAGCTTAATCAAGTCCACACAACATATTAAAATGAATCAGCTGACTAGGTTAGATGGACCTATCTAGAATGAACAAACTCGAGCAATCTTCTATTTCAAAATCTATACGCTTAAGCTTAATCAAGTCCACACAACATATTAAAACAAATCAGCTGATTAGGTTAGATGGACCTATCTGGAATGAACAAAGGCGAGCAATCTTCTATGGCTCAAGATGTTACAGAGTATTAAGTCATGAAAGGGCTCATGAGAAGAAATTACAATAGTGAGGAATCTCTATGTTCTAGTCTCTACCCAACTAAAAAAGTAAAAATTCCCAGCACCTACAAATTTCATTATCGAATTATCTAAATTTTATGAATAACAAGGTACACGAACTTTTATCGGCTATTCATCACTGAACACCTTGAATAAGAGAAACATTTCCTTCTTTTCTCCACTTTTGAAAATTTATACTCCTAAGTAAGTTTTTCCCACATTCTTCCACCTCACCAATCCTGAGCTAAGTAAGCAAACCTACAACCAATTCAACCAAAGGAATCTTTACTTTAGTTCTCTATCTACTTCAAGACCCTAAACCAATCTTTTCGATAAACCATACCCAATTCTTCAATCTAGAAAAGCATCCTAAAGCTTAACATTGTTCTAATAGAGTCAGTTAGCTATAAGGATTCAAGGCTACCACAGATCATTCACACCAATGACAACAAGAGAAATCAAGACCACCGCACCTCGATTAGCTGAGGGCGGAAAATTGGGCAGGCCGTGCACCTGCAATCTCGTCTTGATCACATCCAGCGGGCACACAAACGTCGCCGCTATGATCCCTACAAAAATTCCCATAACCACAGGCTCGATCAACTAATCTCAACCTCTAAAAACAAAACCCTAGACATGAAAACAAAAGCAAAAGAGAGATCATCACCTGCGGAGGCGCCGGCGACGGCATTGCAGACGAGATCGCGCGCGCTAGGGCCGTGGGAATCCACAGACATGGCGAGATCTCGGTCGATTTCTTAGTGACAAATCAATTACATCATCAGGCTGTATGATTTTAAAAAGCTACATTAATTAGGGAATCCTAAAAGGTAGGTGGAAGAACGGTATCAAAGTTGCAATCTTGCTTTCTATTTATGGGGGCTTTTTGGATGAGGATGAAGGGGATTGGATAAGCACTGAATCTTTCCCTTTCCTTCCCCTTTATTATTATTATTTTTCCAATAAAAAGTTTTGTTGTTGTTTTAACAAGGGAGAAATGGTCGTGGAAAGAGCTGACTGCTCGAAGAGGACTTAATCTCTTTCTTTTTCACTGAGGTTGGGGAAGATGTGGGTTTTCATTCTTTGGGTTAATTTCAGAGAACTCCGTAAACTTTGGGTGGTGTTGCACATAACTCCCTTAAACTATAATATGTCCCACAAAAATCCTCTAAAGTTCAACATTTTTCTCACTAGATCTCTACTTGTAATTTTCAAATAACTACAATGTGCTTGAGAGAAAAAAATCACAGATTTTATCATTTGTCATTTACAGTCAACGTAGCTCCTACTTTAAATTTTGTGCTTGTTTCCCTCAAGAAAAAATTTATTTATTTGTGAACTACACGTAAAGAGATATAGTGAGAGATGTTTAAAGTTCAGGGAGATTTTGTGAGACACCCTAGAGATCAATGGGATTATGTGATAAAAAAAGTTAATGGGGTTTATGTGACAAATCCTCCAAAGTTTAGGGGTTATGTGAAATTAACCCTTTTCTTTTCAAATTAGTTTGGGGTGTTTGGTACATTGCAATTCAATTGTATTTGCATTAAATTCAAATCTGTTGTTTGAATATTTGCATTTTAATATGGTAAATGCATTTCGAAATTCGAATCAAATGTTTGGTTAGTCACAAAATTGTATTTTTTTTTTTTTTGAAAGAAAAATTCCTCAAAGACCCAAAATATGGGACCAATAGAGGGGACAAGTGAGGTGTCCCCCTTCTATTGGATAATGAGTTGGCCATCATTAATGATGATCAACTCATTATCCAATAGGATGGGGACACCTCACTTGTCCCCCTTATTGGTCACATATTTTGGGTCCCTGTAGCAAAGCTCTTTTAGAAAATACATATCCATCGTAAATCATGTGTTTTGTTTCTCTTCAAGTGTAAAATATATAACATTTTAAGTTAAGTTTCACTAATTTGATGATCTGGTGTTAACTTTTAGTTTTTTTTTTAAGTAATGCAAAAACTTGCGACATTCGTAGCGGTCAAATTTGCTAAATGAAATACTATAGGTTTCTTCTACAAAATGTAAATCCAAATAACATCTACAACAATCTGTTGGAAAGTGAGGTTAAATCTGGAATTGAACAGTGAAGGATGATGTGCTGTTATTTTAAAAATTTTCAATTAACTGCTGTGCGTTTTTGAAACGCTGTGCTTAAAGCAATATTTGGCCTACTCCGGTGCAAGGATCCCAATGTCAAACTGCTTCCAGGAACAGCAATGCAATACTCTGGTGTGCACCAACCCAGTATTGTCAAGATCTTCTCGGTCTATAAGACCTTTCGGTCTAGGCAAAAGATCTCCTTGATCTCAGAACCTTACGGTTCAAAAATTTTCGGCTTAAGACAAGTTCCTGTGGGCACAAGTTCCTGCAGCAGCAGCACAACAGCAACAACGTCGGGATCGACGTTCGTATTCCAGCACGCGACGTTCATGTTCCACGCTCGCGAGAGGATTTTCAGCTATCAACCAAGAGCTGCCCAATAGCGCTATTTATAGGCCTCTAAGGCCAGCTCAAGAGTCACAAGCAATTAATGTGACTGTTACAATTCTTAATGGCAATTAAGATTGTAACATCAATGCATTAAATTGCTCTTAATGCTGTTGTAACCACTGCATGTATTAACTCTTGAATACGAGGCAATCAATGGACGCGTTGCTACGAAACGCGAGGGTCATGTCTCAACAAATCAGACGAACCTCGTTTGACAAACGAACGTCGTCAAACAGGCGAACCTCGTATGACAGACGAACATCGTCGAACGAGCGAACATAGTCAAGCAGGCGAACCTCGTATGACATACGAACCTCGTCGATCGAGCGAACCTCGTCAAGCAGACGAACCTCGTATGACAGACGAACCTCGTCAACAAGCGAACCTCGTATGACAGACGAACCTCGTCGAACGAACCAACATCGTCAAACAGGCAAACCTTGTATGACAGACGAACCTCGCCGAACGAGCGAACCTTGTCAAACTACGAGAACGCTAGGGTCACCATCGTGCGTATACGTAGCTCGTCTACATGCTGCGAAGCAGCCTGCGAGGCAACCTTCGTGGCGCCAAACAGCGCCACCTCGCCCCGATGCCTCCGTGCAAAGTGCGCCTAACAAAGCATCACTTAGCTCCTCAGCCCGATTAGCCCCGATCCTCGGTCCATTAGCCCACGGCCCACGAGAACTTATGAGAGATAAATTCAAATAAAACACTTCTCAGCTTGCCGATGGCAAGCCTCGAACAAGGGACCTTTTGAAACACCAAAATATAAACTTTCCACTATGCTACTAAGCATTTATGAAAAGTACTTGTAATTAATATATATATAGTTTGAAAACTCATTTTTAAAAGTAGTTTTGACAAAAAAATCCAACACAATCTTGTTGCAAAGCAAACATCGGAAGCAGGAATCTGGTTGCTGCACTTATGGATGTAAACCCATTTCTCGTCAACCAAATAGTCGTTTTCGTTGTCATGTGGGGACCACGTGTCAAATGGTGAGGTTCGCATAATGTTGTGATGGTTGAGCGAGGGCGACGTCCATTAGAGTGTTGAATGGGGGGTGCGAGTGCGACTGCGACTTGAATGCTCTTTCCGCTTGGGACGATTCATCTCCATCTTTGATCGGATAAGTCTCTGCAGGCTTATAAGGCTGGACCATCCTGCATACAAGTACATAGGTCGGATTCCATTAAATTCTCAGCAGGTTAGTGACTCGAGTAACCCGACCGCACCAAACCCAGATACATTCAATCACCGACCCGTTCACGATCTTAAGATTAGATATCATACCTGTGAACGTGGGGCCCATGAACCACGTGAATAAAAAGAAACCGAGTGAAGGAAGTTGGTTGCTGTGCGTAGGCCCACCCGGAAACCCGATTCCGCATAGGCTATAAATAGCCTAGGGTTTCGTGAGCACAATGTGTGTGAAGGAGGAAATTACAGAAGAAAAGTCGGCTCTTTTTTCTCTTGGCAGCGGACGGAACTGTGGAAGAAAAAACGAAGCCGCTGTTTTTAGTTTTTTTTCTCTTTTTTCTCTTGGCAGCGGACGGAACTGTGGAAGAAAAAACGAAGCCGCTGTTTTTAGTTTTTTTTGTGTATCCTTTGAGAGAATATTTGTGTGAGGGATCTGAGAGTTTGTGTGAGGGTTTTATTTGTGAGATTGTAAACCCCAATTGTATCTCTCCCTCTAATAGTAGATCTCCCCCCTCCTTGCCCCGTGGACGTAGGCTATTTGCCGAACCACGTAAAAAATTTCTGTTCTTACCGTGATTTGTAATAGCTTGTAGGTTCCCTCGACACGTAGTCCTAGAGCTAACGAGAGGAAGAGCTGATATCTCACTTTGATGAGATATCTGGCTTTTGGTTCTTGTTTCCTTTGAGAAACGAGAATTTCATTGTGATCTAATCTCTTGATGTGCACCTTGCGCACCGGAGGTGCTGCCGAAATTTTCGCTGCGCACAACAAGTGGTATCAGAGCTCCGGGTTAGACTTGGGAGCTTGTTTGAAGGATTCGCTGAAGGATTCCTATTTGAAGATTAGATCGACAACATGGGAGAAACAAGCACATTGGGATCGTCTCTTTTGAAGGCGATACAGAGTCTGAGCATCAATAATACAAAGATTGATGTCCGAAGTTCGACGGCAAGATCAATTTTGGTTTGTGGAGGTGTCAAGTGATGGATGCCTTGGATGCACAAAATTTGGAGGAGACTCTTGAGTTACAAGAGAAACCCGCTGATATGGAGGACAAGGTTTGGAAGAAAATGAATAGTAGGGCTTGTGGAGTTATTCGGTCATGCTTGACGTCGGATCTTATTTATGACGTAATGAACGAGACTTCGGCGAAACGGTTGTGGGAAACATTCAATGAGAAGTATCTTACAAAGAGCATTGAGAATTGGCTTTACTTAAAGAAGAGGTTTTACTAATTCAAGATGAAGAGGGGAGTTTCCATTCGGGAGCATGTTAACAACTTCACGAAGCTAATTTCGGATATGGCCAATGTAGATATCATGGTTGAGGATGAAGACAAGGCGATGCTATTATTGTGTTCGTTGCCGGAAGATGATTTTGGAACGTTTGTTCTCACTATGATAAATGGAAGAACTACGGTTAGCTACAAGGAGGTGACCTTAGCTTTGGTGAATTATGAGTTGAGGAAGAGTGATGGCGAATCCTCCGAGAAGGCATCGGGAGATGCATTAGCAGTTTGAGGCCGTGGTCCAAACCATCGTCCAGGTGCTCGCTCAAGATCGAAGTCAAGAGGTGGCCATAGAAATATTAGTAGGAATCAATGTTGCTTTTGCAAAGAAGAAGGACATTGGAAGAACGACTGCCCAAAGTTGAAAGATAAAGCCGGGAAGAATAAAGGGAAAGCTGTACAAGCTTCAGAAGTGAATATTGTTAAGGCTAGTAATGATAATTCAGATACAGATTCTTCAGGCTATTCTTGCTCTGCATTACCGTCAGTTTGTTACGCTGACTCTACGGAGTGGATGATGGATTCTGGTGCTACATACCATATTTGCCCTAGGAGGGATTGGTTCTCCAGCTTTGAAGAGTTAGAAAGAGGGGATGTCGTGCTCATGGGTAATGATCACGTATGCCCTATTGGTGATATTGGTACAGTACGGATCCGGATGTGTGACGGTGTATCTCGGGAGCTGAAGGAAGTGAGATTCGTTCCTCAATTGACGAAGAATATCATTTTGCTTGGAACTTTGGAGGCAGCTGGCTATTGTTCGCGGGAAAAATCGTATCTTTCTTCATTGTTGATTCCATTGTCATCTTAAAGAACAGCTTTTTGAGTTACAAAGATCCGGTCTTTTTATAAGATCCGGTTACAATGAAAATCAAATAAAATAAAAGAAAGATTACAACTTTTTATCCTTATTTGTCGAACAAATCACGAGCTCCTGTTTTGCGGTCGCTCGCTTGCGTGGGTTATTTGCATGCGCCGGGGTTTATCCGTGGACCACCGCGAGATCTAGATCCGGTCTGATCTACGCAGTACGACGGGTATTATTTCACC